TTGTAGCTAATAAACATAGCTGAACTGATTTTGCATTGTCTCTTGGAGTTCCTTGGGCTAGGCCTGACAGGATAGGAGCAGCAGCAGAGAAGGCATAGCTTTGGGGTCCCCAAAAATGGCATTGTTTAATTGAAGGGAGACAGAGCATGACAGCTCCAGATATCCTGGGTGATGTGTTGCTGGCTTATAAGGAAAGGACCCCCCATGTTATGGGAACCTACCCACTGATTACTGCCCCTTGGCCAAAAATGTTGGTGCAGCTGTAGTTTAATGACATCATAGTAGGGTTACCCAAACCCTGTAGCCTTCAGAGGTGGAATAAAAAGATAAAGTCCAGCCCTGATGACAAAAAATGTCCCCATCCGTGATGTAGAGCAATTTTTTAGGGCTGTGCATTGCTTTGGATTCAATTTGAAAAAGTGGTTTTGAAGTTCGAACACCCTTTAAAGCACTTGGGTCTTACAGCTACATGCTGCAAAATCCTGAGGAAAGAGGTGCCTAAGTGGCAGACAGGTGTTATATTTGTGCCCTCATAAAGTGTGAAACATCATTTGGAATAAAATCTGTAGCGCTGTGCAGCTGTACAGTTTTCCTTGAATCTGTTTCCAGACAGGGCCACAAAATTGTAATTTTGGATCACCAAAGATGGAGCCAACAGGAAAGGGTCTAGCTAGAAGGCTTAAGACTTTTTCCTATCCTTCAATAAGGCAGTCTTAGCTCCACCAGCCATCAGTTCAGTGGATTGGTATATGGAAAACGGTCTGTAGCTGTGACCGAAGATTGTTTCCCCTCCCCTCTCCCGAGGAATCAGGAAGCAACGACTTCCAGAGGTACCTGGAGCAGCATGACAACGGCAGCCCTATGCCACACAGCCAACCTTCTCTATGGACTAGGCACCAAGAGCAGTGACCAGGATATGCAGTAGAGACCTTCTGAAAACTGGGATCATCATGGAGGCCAAGCAAGGAGATACAACATCATTCCAGCCCTTGAGGCCATAGTGAGAACATGTGATTTGGATCTCCCTTCTCTCAGTAGAGAGCCAAGGATTACCAAATGGGCAGTATATCACAGGAGGGGGGTTGAAGCTGATAGAACAGGAGAGACAAGAGCCAACCTGGCAAGGTGGTTCAGGACCCAGTCTATCCAGACAGAACTTGGCCTCTCCAGCCCTGCCTCTCCCTCAGCAAGGCTGTTTCTGGAGCTGAGTTATCTACAGTGCTAAACCACCTTGTGAAGGAACAGAGGCTGTTCTAAAGCAAGTGAGAAGAAAAGGGAAGCAGTCCTCTACTCCCAGAAGCTCATCAGGTGATTCCTACTTTTCCCCAACCTCCACCTTCTTGGTATCCTCTTTATGTTCACAGGAAAAAGGAAAAAAGACAAGAGACCCTAAAAGCATGAGGAGAAGTGACACAGGAAGGAGATGAATGTCTGCCCAGCAGTCTCAGAGAAGGGACAAAAGACCACCTAATGCTCCTTGGCTCTCAGAGTGCTGAGTGGGATTTATTTATTTATTTATTAATCAATCAATCAATCAAATTTAGATACCGCCCATTTCACAAAAAGTGAGTGATGGGTCCTCATATCCTCATATAGGATCCTCATATCCTCCAAGGAAGCAAAAGAGAGTCCTGCAAGACAATCAAGGCACATTCTTCATGATATTCAGACCAAGAGGAAGGTCAGCTTTCAGATGATAACTTTGCACAAATTGCACTTTCACATCAGAGATTGCTTAATGCTTGCTTATTTTCACTTCAGGCACTCAACTTGAAACTAGACCCCAGCAACTCTACAAGCAGTACTTTGAGGAATTGTAAGGTGTTCCCTTCAGTTTCCAAGATGGACCTTGGAATGCCATTTCGGAACACAGATAATCAAGGATTGAGCAGAACCAGCCAAACTCAGGGCATCCTTCACACTGGTGAACAAGCTGTATTGCCTTTCCAAGGATATCATGGAGTGCTAGCTCTAGATCACTCTAATACCAGTTGTCCTAAGAGAGGGAAGAGAGGTGCTCACAGATCCAGCAGAATGTAAAATAGACGGAGCACTGACACAAATCCACAAAGGAGTAGCACCAGGGATCAGGGCTGCCGCTGTACCTTCTGTCATCACCCAAGCTTGGTAATGTGGACATGAGACTTCCTCTCAGAAGTTCAGACAGAAACCTAAGAGAAGGAATTTGCAAATTAGACACAGTTCAGAAGGAGCAGAATAGCAGGCATGTCTGTGGACTGGCTACAGTTTGCAGCCCAATGCAAGGCCTTGGTATGATGATGTGGCAGATCTTGTGGCTCAAGCGTTGGGAGGTAAACCATCAATCAGAAACCTCCTTCACAGCTAAGCCCCTTTCACCCCTCCCCCCAAAAACATGCTATTAGGGGGCCAAATAGAGAATAAGTCTAAAAAGAAACCAGTGTCCTCAGCCCTTACAAGAGAAGACTGTCTTCATCTTTCAGTACAGAGACTGCACTCTGACCCTTTTTAAAAGACCCTCCAAGAGAAAAATTGGCAGGGGCAGTCTAGGAAAGGGTTCTGAACGTATAGGGAGCCTTCAGCTGAGCTAAAAGTTAAAAGGGACAAGTGCAGCATATGGAAGATCATTAAGGAAGTGTACTAACAAGTAGCAACTATCAGCAGAGAGAAAATCAGAAAGGCCAAAATACAAAAGTTTTTTGTGTTTTGTAAGGGAAATGAAAAACAACAGAAAGGGTTTTTTTAGTTATATCAGTACAAAAAATGAGGAAAAAAGATGTAGAGCCACTGTTGGAGAAGCTGTTAGGACAGAAACACATGATGGAGAGAAAGAGCAGAGCTCTCAACTCCTACTTGCTTTGGTCTTGTCCACAAATGGGAACTTTTTCATATGGACCTAAGCAGAACAGTTGATACAAGGAGTGATAACCCAAGGTGAGTAATGAAATGATTTGGTAGCCTAGCTACCATGTATAGATTTAAGTATCCAGGATTGATCAGACCCCATTTGGAATTTTGTGTCCAGTTCTGAGCACCACAGTTCAAAAAAATTTAAAAATCGGAGTAAGTTCAAAGCAGCATTACCAAAATAGTGAAGGGTCTGAAACCAAGCCTTGTGAGGAACGGTTAAAGGATCTGGATATGTTTAGCCTGCAGGAAAGACAGCTGATAGTAATCTTACTGTGATAGTAAATATGATAGTAATATGATAGTAATCTTCAAGTAGTCAGTTTGTGAACATTTATCAAGAACAAGTAATGCCAAACCAATCTAAAATATATACTTTTTGATAGAGTGACCATTTTAGATAAACATGAAAGTGCAGTATACATAGTATATCTTGTCTTCAGAAAGTTGTCCTTGAGATTCTAGTAGAGAAGATGATAAAATGTGGGCTGGATTATGATACCAGGGTCCCTTCCAACCCTTACATTCAATTATTCTAAACAACCACTGGAGTTCCCAGTCCTGTCTGCAAAGATATCCTGCTAACGGCAAGGCAGAACAAGTAAGACCTAAGGAAAGTGCCCCTCAAATTGATGCCCTCCACCTTCCAGTCGTGCAGGTGATTGCAGCAATGTTGGCACATTGAGTGAGGGCAGATGGGTGTTAGAGTTTGGTGACGAGAAGAAAATGAAGAGATGGGTTCCTTCCGTCCCCTTTTGAAAACCAACATTGGTGTGATAGGGCATGTTTTTGTACAGGAAGGTTTTCCCCAGCATGTTTACATTCTGTTTATGGTGCCGAAGAATGGAACTTAAAAGGTCATCCTGAATGTCAGATGGCTGAACTTTCAGGATGGAGAATAAATATCGACAGTGTAAGCCATTATCCAGATGACTTCTGAGCTTTATGCCTATCTAGATCCTTTGCTTATCAGCATTTCTATGGAGAAAGTATTGAGCAGCCTCCACTTGATGAGTCAGTGTCTTTGGGAACAGTTTTGTGATCTCACCCTCAAGTCCTGAGTCACTATCAGTAGAGGAAAGGAATGTGTCCTCAAGCTTTGGGGCCTGTAAGAGACCCTCGCATCCAAGAGGCTGATCCTTGTAACACTGAAAGGATTGCAAGAGGTGATGGTGGCAACTCTAGCTCAGTTCTGTGGGCTCCAGACTGCTCCAGTGGTGGCTCCTTCTCCCACTCCAGGTCAGATAACCAGCAGATCCCACCTGCCAAGCCAGGATGCTCAGTCATGGCATTGTTGGTTAATGCCAAAGAATGGGGCATAGCCAAAACTACCCAGGGAACTGTTCAGGTGACCACAGATGCCAGTAGGATGGGGACCCTACTTCAAGCATAGCGAAGTGCAGGCATTGTGGCTCCTTCACAAGTTGACATTACCTGTCATCCAGCTGGAGTGGAGGGCTGTGCAGCAGGCTTGCACCAGGTGATTGGGCAAGGAGCTGCTGGTGCAAATGGAAGTATTACTACCAAAGAATCAGATCAAGGAGCATGCTATAAGAGGCCACACAACTAAGACTTGGGCAGAGAAACACCTGTGATCCATATCAGCAGGGCACATAAAGGAATCACTGAATGCATAACCTATTGGCTGAGTTTTCATTGTTTGTCTCTGAGAAAATAGGTCCTACATTCAAAGGTGTTTTTTTTGCCAGATCTCCACAAGATAGGTATCCCATTCAGCCAACATATTCACAACAGGGGACAACAGACAATTGAGGCACTTCTGATTTCCAGGCAACAGGGCAGAGAGGACTGATCCCCTGCTGGCAACCTGGCTGGAAGGTCAGCCATGTGCTTTCCTACTGATACCATCCAAAGCAGTGTACAAAGTAAAGATGCTCAAGGTATGAGCAATTGAAGCACTCCGTTCTAGTCCAAGAGACCATAGTTCTCTACCGAAGCAGAGGTGCGCAGGAAGTTCCCCAAACAGCCAAGTATCTTGTCTCAAGGCCTGATTCTTCACCTGGATCAGACTGGTGGTGGCTCTGCGCCTAGAAATTGAAGGGGAACTATACCTGGATTCCAGCCTTGCAGGCCTGGGAGGAAAGCATTGTGGGCTCTGCTGTCTGGCCAGCTGATTTATCAGCTGAGCTGATGTGTCTCTGAACAGTGGTGCAAAAGACAGAGATTCATGGCCCCAGCAACAAGGCTCCTGATCTATCAAGATTCCTACCAGCAGTTTTGGGGTGTGGACTAGTGGCTGTATATGCAGGCAGAGCCCCCTTGGGCTCTTCCTCTTGGGCAGATGTGGGGCATCTCTGGCTACCATCACATGCACCATTGTCTCAAAAGCAAGCTTCCTTTCACCTCCATTTCCCTTCATGAGATTGTCATTGGTTGTTTTATTCTCATTTGCCACAGTTTATCCAAGCAGCTTACAAAGGAAAGAACACTAAAATGAAAACTGTCACAAACCGTAATCAAAGCAAAACATGAAACAGCCACAGCTTCCAGTCCTGGAGCGGGAGGGTTCTCCTCCTCCATGTCTTCTCAAGGCTTTCTGGCAAAACCAGGTGCTCATGGCTTCCTGAGAAACCCACATGGGGGGGCTAATGATTGCTCCCATCAGATTCCTATTAACATCCTGAACTGAGGAGACAGACAACCTTTTTGGTAGCCCTAATCCCTTGGCTTGGGGGTGAGGGTCAGAGAATTGGGGTCTTTTTCTGTGAGAGATGAACTCTGGCAAGGTGAAGTGGAGGTAAACTGGATCCTTGTTTCACTATGCCCAAGTTTAATTCCAAATTCCACCATGTTCAAGAGTCATCTCCCCCCTCCCCGCCAGTTCTGCCCAAATCCTTCCTACTGTTGGAAGATTCCTATGGGTAATTTCTACTTTGGTTGGCACCCAGCACACTCCTAGTCAGTTCCTGTGATTGGATCAGAGCACACGCTTTCCAACATAGAGCATGGTGGTTGTTTATTAAACCTCAGCAAGAGCAGGACCAAAGGCAGGCAGAAGCTGGGAGAGAAAGATAAAAATGAGCAAGGGTTGCAGAGGACTTAACCACAAGAAACTACATGGTCTGTCTCAAAAGCACAGACTTTTCCATAGTCACTATAACACTGTGGATGGTCCCACATGGAGTGGCCTTTGCTTGTTCCAAGTCCACCCTTTTGTGTACATAACAGTAGCAAATAGAAACAGGTGATCCCTCTATTCTGCACAATTAAAGAAACAATTTGGTGGATGGGGATGATGTATCCAATACTTACCCTAGAGAATGAACATGGCATAAGTGAATCCACAGTATTCTAGATGGGTGGCCAGTAGTCAGTTGGTCTCCTACAGAACAGGAAACCTGGGGAGACCATGAGTAGGTGGGGCAGGGGGAAGAGCTCACTTGAACGTGAGCAGGAGAGGTCCCACTAGCAATCTGGGCACAGCCATCTACATTTCTCAGGCATTGTAAGACAGTCAAGTTTGCCTTTCAGGCACATGGTGTTACACAGGGTACTTTAGTCTCCACTGTCCCTGCCATCTTTGGTAGTCTGAGTAACTCTGAAGTACCTTTCTGGTCACAGAGAGATGGATGCAGCAGTCCCAGATGACCCAAAGGGTGGAAGTGGCTCAAGTGAGCAAAAGTGAAATTGTTGGTGATGTCCCCTGTGTTAGCTGACTTTCATTTTCCTGGGTATTCTTGCCAGTGGCAAGGTTTGCGTTGATGCTATTTTGCTAAACAAGTTGAACAATCCTGGGCTGAAGTCATTGCATGCCCTGAAGGGAGGGCCTCCTTGAGACAAAAAAGTCTTAAGCTGTGCCTTATAACCAGAGCAGGCGGAGTTAACTTTCTCTAATTTGTCCACCTTTTGATGACCACTTAATGTTCAACCTCTGCTTTTGGGAAAGCCTTGAACTGCTTCTCTTTCCTCCCTGAGAAGTTGGTTATAGTGATTGTAACACAAAAATAGGTTTTTGTGATCCCTTCATTTTCTGCAACAAAAATGTAAGGCCCCAAATGGTTACCTGTAGAACTGTATGTATTAATCCATTCTTTAAAGCCTTTAATCAGTTCTGGGTGCCCTGTACTTTTCCACAGGGGCTGTTTGCACGCCGGCGACAGCTGCTGCTCACTGAAGGGCCACATCTGTACTATGTTGATCCTGTCAACAAAGTTCTGAAAGGGGAGATTCCGTGGTCACTGGAACTCCGGCCAGAAGCAAAGAACTTCAAGACCTTTTTTGTTCACACAGTAAGTGACCTACCCAGCCAGTTCAAGCAGAGTTCTGCTTTTATTGCTAATTCTGTGCTGTGATGCTCTTCCAAATGATTTGGGGGGGGGGCATTTCCACTGTTAGCATATTCTGAGAAGAATAGGAGCTGTGAGAAATCCCTAATTAGGGAAAAAATGGACCCAAATGCCGGTAACTCTGAGGTTGGTTTGTGCAGCTATTCCCTATTATGGGCAGCAGAGAATAGCGAGCAGTCCTGTGAATTTACCTTAGGATACTCTATGATGTGTAGCAGGGGAAGTTCCAGTTGGATGAGGCTTGCACAAAGTTCATCATGCCTAAAGCCAAACTTGCTGCTGGCAGTGTATTAACTGGCTGCTGAAATGAATGAGCACTAAACATTGTTTACTTACAGCCTAACAGGACATACTACCTGATGGACCCAAGTGGGAATGCTCATAAATGGTGCAAAAAGATACAAGAGGTTTGGCGACACAGATATCACCAGAATGCTGCGAAATGAGACTGTCCCTCAATGCCCCATCTCACTCCTTTGCTGCTCGAGTGCCACGTGCTCCCGGACGGAGGACTCTTCCGAGCCCGGCTAACATCCAGCTCCAGGGCCAGAGCTAGTGCTTTCTCTGAGGAAAAGCCCAGCCAGCGGAATTCAGGGTTGCTTTGCTTGCTTTTGTGCTTCTGGTGGAGCTCCTACACTCGCCCACCCCACTCCCCCACGCCCACCTTCTGCTGACATTGACTACATTGGCTTCTGCTGCAAATGAGTGGAGTTTGCATTGCTGGCTTCGCAGTAGACCAGTTAAGGTAGCCAAGCCCAGATCATGTGGGGGCTGGATTATTACTGTGATCTTCTGATTTATCATGCAACTGTGTTTTGGGGAGCTTGGAAATCTCTTTTCACGAGAAGTTGCCACCCTTGATGCTGCTGCCATCACTTTCCTTTCTAATCGTTGGCTCTTTGGTATCCAGCACTTGTCATCACTCTGGGTATAAAACCCACAAAATTCTCCAGGTTGTGTCCAGTTGCAGGATCTCCAAGGATGGTACTTGTAATTGCCTGCCTGCCTGCCTGCCTGCCTGCCTGCGTGCCTGCCTGCCTGCCTGCCTGCAAGATGCACTCCGGCACAAGTGGAAAGTGAAAGGAATGGTGAACATGACACTTGAAATCCTGGCATTCTAGTATCAGACGTTTTTAAAACATGGAATTTTAATTTGATGCATTTACATGTTTAACTGAGCATACAAAGTTACCAGCATGCTTTTAACTAATACTAAAAGGTGAACTAGTTAGTACAAAATTGTATTGACGTAATAAATAGACTCTTCACTTTTTCAGAAGAGGGAGCAAACTCTTTTCTTTCCAAGGTCTGGCAGGGGCAAAGGGTTGTAGGGGCTAACCTTTTTGTGTGGAGGGAAGGCCAAACAAATGAAATGCTGTTGTACGACTGATGACTTGATTTGTTGTCTCTTTGTATAATGAGGTGTACAAATATTCCTGTATTGTTCATTGGCCAAGCATTGTACCTTTTAGCAACTTTGGAAATATTTTACATGATTTAAATATATTTAAGCCCCTCTATTAATTGGACTAATTGTTGTGTTCATGTAAAAATGTTGATACAAAGGAGGGGGAAATGTATGGTACTTGAGTCATATCTATCATATGTTTCATATTGTTCTTTTGTCTTTTTCCAATTAAACTGTCATGCTCAACATTTCTTGTAATGTAGGCGAGGTATTGCTTTCTCAGCGTAAGCATCCTTCACTTTGTGCAGGACAGGTTCTTGACAGAATAACTCTCTCTCCACCCCCATTTCTATTCCCTTCTCATTTACATGCTGAGAATAATGCCTTTTTATAGGAATTTGAGCAAGAGATCATAACTTTGGCTTTTTCTAATCTAACAGATTATGAGTCTGTAAGGTTTTAATGCCCCTGTTCAAAGTGATACTTCTTGTGTAGCACAGAAGTAGCCTCTTCTGACAGGAGTCCACATTTATCCATTTATCCAGCCATCATATTTATACAGCACCCATCTCACAATCAAGTGACTCTGGGCTGCATACAGGCAAACATGGAGGTTTGCCATGGCAAAGACATTAAGTTCTGGGTTTGGGGCTGTTCTGCTGTAGAAGTACTTTGGATAATGAGAAGCCCTTTATTTTGCTCTCCTGGATCCTGGTGGCAGTCTTTTTTTCCTGGTAAAGCTGAATGCAGTCAGATACACGTGGATTGAACATGATTCTACCCACACCTCTAAGCCAGTTAGGGAATTGGGGAGCATCAGGTTGAGTTTCCTTTGTGTCATTGTATTGCATGGTGGAATGGGGGGGGGGATAACATTCATTTTGGACTTGCACATTGCTGATCATTTTGTACAGTTCATTTCTTTATCTCAATCACTGAAGAAACCAGGAATGTCCTGGGGCATTGGACAAATTTTGGGTTTGGGTACAATTTAGTTCACTTCTATACCACTTTGGGAGGAATTTGAAAAAAATTCAAGGGTGGACAGTCTTGAGGTGATGGGAAGTTATGAAAGCTAATGCTGGCCTTGCTTCAAAAATGATGTAGAAGATGTGCTTTGGACCTCATGTAAGCACAGACAGCACTGGTCTGCTATTCATGAAAATACCCCGGTTTTGTATCAAGTTTCTGTACAAGTCTGGGAGGAAAAATAGCGGAGCTGCTTTCAGGGTTGCATTATTTAATGTGAATGGATTTGTTTAAAGAAGAGGCATCTTTTATTCAAGTAGTAGAGAAGCCTGGGGAAAAAAAACAGGTTATTTTAAGGAATAGCAGACAGGTGCTGAGCCCACATGAGGTCCAAAGCATTTCTTCCAAATCATTTTTGAAGCGTGTACAATACTGATAGAAATATTAGCTCTGAAGCTCCAAGAAGATGAGAGTAAATAGCAAGAAGGCTGGACTGTCAGTTACCATTTGGGAGTATGTTTAAAGTGGCTAGCTACCTTCAGATTCTATACTTTTTCTTTCTTAATTGATCAGGCTATGTGACATCATACTAAAAGGCCTGACTGGCCCTGCACCCGGTTCCCATTAGGCTGTAGGAAGTCCAGAAACAGAAATTTCTCACTGTTTGGTAATCTCTTCAAAAATCAATAGCACTTCTGTTTCAAATGGAGAAGTAAAAAAGTAAACTTGGAATATTCCAAAATTTACAGAACATTTACATATGTACAGTGGTGCTTAAAAGTTTATCCTTTTTAATTTTCAATATTTCTACATAAATATGTCTTAAAACATGATCTGTTCTCCACCCAAGTCCTAAAACTAGATAAAGAGAACCCAATTAAACAAATGACTCAAAAACATTATACGTGTTCATTTATTTATTGAGGAAAATGATCCTAGACTACATATTTGTGTGTGGCAAAAGAGTGTGAACCTTTGCATTCAGTAACTGATGTGCTCCCTTTAGGCAGCAATAACTGCAACTAAACGTTTCCAATACAAGTAGTCTTCAGGTTACGATGGCAGTTGGGACTGGACATTCTGTCGCTAAGTGATGTGGTTGTAAAGTGTAATGTCACGTGTCACTTAGCAACAGCAATTCCGGCAGTCCCAGTTGCTGTCATTAAACAAGGACTGCATGGGTTGTTAAGTGAGGACCTCACATGATCTGACTTCCTGCCGGCTTCCTCACTGACTTTGCTTGTGGGAAACTACCAGAGAATGCCAGAAATAGTAATTGTGTGACCGCGGCTCACTGCGACATCGTAATCATGAGCTGGGCACCCAGGCTGTGGGTGTGATCACATGACTGCAGGTATGCCATGATGGCTAGAACTCCAAGGACCTGTTGTAAGTACCTCTAGCACCATCGTAACTTTGAATGGGTCGCTGAATAAATGGTCATAACCCAAGGATTACCTGTAACTCTTGATCAATTACACATCTGCACATCTGCTTGAAGGAATTTTAGCCCATGCCTCCTTACAGAACAGTTTCAACTCAGGGATGTTGATGGGCTTCCTCACATGAAACTGCCCTCTTCAGGTCCTTCCACGACACTTCTATAGGAATAAGGCCAGGACTTTGACTTGGCCATTCCAAAACATTAGTTTTCTTCTGCTTTAACTATACAACTTCTGTGTTTTGGGTCACTGTCTGCTTAGAGATGGGCAGGCCTGGAAAAAAGCTGGGAAAATTGGGAAAAAAAGTTTTTTTCCCGTTTTTTTCCAAAGCCATTTTTTTCCGGAAAAATTGAAAAAAAAAGGTGTGGAATATGTTCTTTTCCAATGATAAATAATATATCTATCACATGGTATTCAAACTATATAACATGAAGACCTTAATGAAAGATTTCTGAGACTTTTTGTAAAGTCTTAAATTATTGCAAGTTCTCTCAGCTGAAGACAAGCAAATCCCGGAATAGAATTCACTAGCACTGTACTTCTCAATGCAGTTCTCAAACAGGAGAAATATGCATTTGTGCCACTAGGGGGCACTGCAGGGAAAAGCCTCCAGTTTAGTTTACTTGTGTACCTCGGACCTCCTACAGCTGAGTAATTGTTGGTATACAGGAGATG